CCGGCATGGGTCCAGTGCTCCCCTCCGCCCCGGGGTCACGGGCAGTGGCCCTCAACAAGCGTCTGCTTTCTCCTCTCCAGATAAGTGAGAAGACGTCTCAGGAGCGGGACCGTGGCGGCTGCGGGGTGGTGGGGGGCGGCGGGAGCTGCAGCAGTGTCGGGGCAGGCGGTGGCGGGGAGAGGAGCACGGACCGGCCACGCACGTCGCCATCGCAGCGCCTGCTCTCAACGCACCACCACCACCACCACCTCGGGTACTCGCTGCTGCCGGCGCAGTACAACCTGCCCTATGCAACAGGTGAGAGCCTCCCCCTGCACCGCGGCACCGCGCGGGGGGCCGGGGAGGAACTGGAGCCACCTTTGGGCAGCGTGAGCCCCTGTGCTGAGCTTTGCTTTGCCCCAGTCCCGCGCCCTTGGCGTGGCCGGGTGCCCGTCCTGCGCTGCTGGCTCCTGACTCAGGTTCTCCTCCGCAGGTCTCTCCTCCACAGCCATCGTTGCCAGCCAGCAAGGCTCCGCTCCCTCCCTGTACCCGCCTCCCCGGAGGTGAGAACGGTAAGGCTCTGCTCCTGCAGCACCGGCAGGATGGGGCTGGGTGCGCAGGGGCTGCCCTGGGCAGAGGGTTTGGGGTTTGCCCGTCCCCCCTGGGCTTGTGGGAGCTGACTTGAGCTTGGGTTGTGGCAGGACGTGATGCGCTGGGACGCCTGGGCTGTACGAGACATGTGACTGGCTCACATGGGGAAGCGCTGGAGACTCCTTTAGACATCAGTTGAATGGTGTTAATTGTTCTGCTTGACGTTCCTGCCGTGATCCGAGGCAGACTCTGTCTTCTCCCCTCCCACACCCCATTGGACACACACTGACTCCCCCTCTGCACCCTCCTCTTTGGTGAGCGGATGAGCTGGTACCTGCAGAAATATTTATTCTACTGGGCACTGGCGCTGGAGGGGACTCGCCTGCCTGGTGCATATGAAGAGGAAACGGAAGCACTGAGGTTTCTCGATGGATTTGGGACCCCACCGTGTCTCTGATGGGGCTGAGCACCACGGGACCAGGGCCTGGTGGGGTCACTGCCTGCTCCGTGCTCCTCACTGGGGCTGGCATGTGGGGCCAAGCCTGCCGGGAGGTCTCAGGAAAGGAAGAGCTGGCTCATGTGGAGCCAAGGTGGGTGTTGTGGGGCTAGGGCAGGTGTCAGCCTGGCCCGAGGCTGCCGTGGGGCACGGGGACGTGCTGCACGTGGGGTGCAGCCTCTCCCCGTCGCACTGTTGATCCTCGCACCCACAGCACCCGCTGCTCCGTGCCTGTGTGGGTCAGGGGATCTGGGGCTGTGCTCGGTCCCCATGAAGCAGCCCCTGCCCAGGGTGAGTGGGGCTCTGCAGGGCTGGCGGCTGCAGGGTTCCTCCCTGTGCCTTGCACAGCCCAGACCTGCTGGCAGCTCATGCCTGAGGCTTTTAACTTGATTTCCAAGCTGTGTCTGCACACCCCAGCCTTTGCCCCCAACCCCAGGAAGTGCTCCCTAAGCCCCAGGGCAGTGCATCGAGGGGGGGCACAAGGCTGTGGCTCCTCTTCACACCCACCTTGTGTGTCTGAAGCGCTTCCCAGGCCACAGGCAGAGCCCAGCAAGGAGCAAGCACACTTAGGCTCTGCCAGAGGCACTTGGGCCCTGCCAGGCCTCCCCCAGCCTCGTGCAGGGGCTCCAGGCCCTGGAGGAAGCTGGTTCTGCTCCTGGCTGCTCCCCAGTGCCCAAGGACAGGGGCTTTCTGGTCCTCTGCTTCCAGCCCCAGAGCGGCTCTCCCCGGGCCGATGCTCTACCTCGGCCCCGCACAGCCGGGCTGCCGCAGCGCGCTCCCCGCTGCCCGGCCGGGGGACACGGGGGCCCATGGGTCTCGGTTGTGTGTGTGCGTGTGTCCGTGTCGCACCCGGCCCCTTGGGGCTGCTGTACCGGGATGCTCTGCCCGCCGGGCTCTGTACATACTGTAAAAAGCAATTGTTTGAAAGCTGTTGTTTTGGGTTTTGTTTTCTTTCCCCAGTTCTCCCCCATCCCATTACCCAGTTGGAAAGGAGGCACTCACTGGTCTCGGCCCTGGTTGGGGGCGCCCGACAGCGCAGTGGCCCCAGCCGGCTCTCCTTGTTCGACGCACTGTAGTTCCACACTTGTGTGTCTGTGCAAGGAGACAGGGCTGTGTGGCCCCGCCGGCTCCTGGGGACAGGGCAGTGGCTCGACCCCCCCGCGCCCGTTACAGATCCTGGTGCAGCCACCGGGCCAGGTTGGGGGTGCTGGGGGAGCCCCACACCCCATCTGCAGAGGAGCAGCCTGCCAGCCGCTCCCACCTCCAGCTCGGCTGCTCCAGCAGAGCCGGCAGCAACATGGGCATGGGTGCCTGAGCAGGACTGGGGGTGTTGGGTTTGCCACAGCCCCTGCTGGCAGTTGAAGGGGGCCGGGGGGGGGCTCCCCACCTTCCCAATTGGGTCCCAGTTACGTCTCCCTTTAGGTGTTAAATGAAGCAGCGGTTTATGCAGAATAGGTTTGAGGTTTGGCTTTCTCTGGGTTCTCCTGGTCAGTCCGTGCCTGGGGGTGCAGCCCAGCCCCTGCTGGGGGGGTCCCCTCTCCCCAGAACCCCCCGGGCCCCGCAGGCGGCCAGCCAGGGCGTCAAACTGTTGGTGTTTATAGCTCGTTGCCATTGGCGTTGCTGTGTTGGGTTTCATTTCAGTCTTCCTGATTCTGCCCTTCTGTAAAGTGTACATTATTACCAAGTTCCTTGTTTTTTTATATATATATATATAAATATATATATATACAAACTGTACTCTTCTTGCCTTTGTACATTTGGGCAAGGAGAGAGAATAAATCTTTTTAAGAGACAATCACAAACCTGTGAGGGTGGCTTTTTCTTCCTGCTTGCCCCAGTTCTGGTCCTTTGTCCCCACAGCTGCAGCCAGTGATTTTTGTTTGGGGTGGGGTTATGGGATGGTGTCCTTGTCTCTGCTGCAGCTGCAAGGGCTGAAACAGTTGCTGCTCCTGATGCTGAACTCATGGGTCTGCAGCCACCATGGCTGAGTGGGGCAGCAGGTTCTGCCCCCCAGCACCCAGCCTCTTCCTTGTACCCAGTGCTGTGCCACCAGCATCCATGGTCTCACACAGGGAAACTGCAACCGAGCTCTGTGTGACAGTTTGGGTCAGAACTGCCCCAAGCTTGAAGCTCTGGGCACCAGCAAGGGACAGCCACCCCCGGCCTCCCCACAGAGCTCCTTCTTGGCTTGGCTCCCCCAACCTCGATGCAAGAGCCAGCACGCAGAGAAACCAGAAGTGCCTTTTGGAGCCTCAGCAGGGAGCTGCTGAAGATGCTGATGGGAGACCTCTTCATCTGCCCACACGTGCGTGAGCCAGGCCAGGACAATGACTGGCACGTGGCTCCATACCTGCACGGTATCAGTGAGTGCAGGAGCTCCTCCTCACTCCAAGCTGCCATGATGAGCACATTGCACTTGACCAGTACATTGTACCAGAGCAGCAGAGGGCAGGAGCAGGGCCCTAGAGCTCACAGGAACACCCAGGGAGGCCCAGGGAAAGGGAAGGGATGAGACTTGGCCCTTCAAAAGCCAGAACCAGGCACCACTGTTTCAGGTGGGGAACAGGGGCAAGGTCTCATTTGTCCCCATACATTCCCTGCAGCAAGGACAGCTGGGGCTGAGGTGTTCTCAGCAGTACAGCCTCTCATTTTACACCAGATTTAGGATTTAATGCCCCACTGAGGAGGGATTAGAGCCACAAGCCCTTTGCTTTCTTTGGAATGGAAGGAGGGGAAGAGAGACACAGACTTTAAGATGATTTATTCACACAAACTCACATCCCAGCCCCACCTCTCTCCCCCAGACAGAACGCACTGACCATGGCCTTTATGGAATGGCTCGGCTTCAGCTTTTGACACCCCCCCCACAAGGGCAAGAGCACAACACAGCACACGGGACAGTTTCACACACACACAAGCAGCCAGGCCAGGCAGAGCTCACCACGGGGCACAGTGCAGAAGCACACCCTTCCTGCATGGCCTGCCCAAGAAAGCCACCCCCATCCCACCTGTGGCACAAGAGCACAACCTCACTCTCCAGCTAAGGGGCAAGGTTGAAACACAAGCACATGCCGGCACCAGACCCCATCTCTCCATCCCTGGAGAGGCCCTGGACAGGGAGCACATCCCACTGCAGCCAGCAGAGCTGCTGTTCACACCAGTCCCCAAGCACAACACCCTTTGGTTTGGGTTCAGCCGCCAGCTCCATCTCAAGTCTTGAGACCATCTCTTTGGAAAGGTGAGGAGGGAGAATAGAGGTGATGGCAACGGGCCTGGTCCACACCCGGCCCTGGGCAGAGGGTAAAGGCTTGAGCTCTTTGGCCCATCACATTGCAGGCAGGGAAGAAATGTTGCCCCTGAGCAGAGGTGTTGCTCCAAACCCTCGCCTGACCCTGCGAGGCCACCGCAGCGCTGTGGGCCCACCAGCAGTTCTGTTCCTTTCAAATAAGCAGCCCCAGCTGTGTGAAGTTCATCGGAATGCCCCTTTATTGAACACTGTGATAGTGCAGTGGTAACATTGAACAGAGCTAAGACTGCTTAAAACAAAAGCTGGAAGAGCAAGAAGTTTAAAAGGGATGGGGGGGGCGGGGGGGGAGGCTGGGGAGAAAGAAAAGGTTAGACCAGTTAAAACAGCATTGGTCGCCCCAAAGCGGAGACCCACGGGGGGTTTAATGTAGTGTTAAAGGGTAGGCATGAGCACGTCTCCTCCACCTGCCTGACACCCAGAACATGCCTCCTGCTTAAGAGTCTGGAGTGAAAAGTCACAATGTGGTGTGTCAGATGAGCACACATCGGGTGACCGGGGAAGGACCAACACAGATTAGAGAAGTCAAGGAGTCGGTGCTGCACCTACCGCTGTGCTCCCCACACCCGGCCCGGGGAACCAGGCGCCGCGGGGCTAACACACCACACAGCTGCACGTAAGGAGTTCCTATGCCAGTTCATAAACATCTTCCATTTACTATTTGGTGATTACATGTGTGTATATATAGTTCTCTAGGCAACACATTTCAATGAGATAGTCAACTCTGAGGATACACAGGCCAATCTAACAATGAAAAATGCAGTTTCAGTCCAACAGAAGCTTTTTTTCCCTTTCATCAAGAAAGGAGATTGAACCCTCTCTCCCCTCAACAGCACTTCCAGGTCACACTGGAGTTCCCCGCTGCAGCTATTCTTCATCAGAGGAAGAGTTCTGATCCAGGGGGTACACCATGAACATCACGTCTGGCCGCGACGGGACAGAAGGGTGACCAGGCCTCACGATTTCAAAGCCCAAGAAGCTGAATGTTTTCAGGAGAGGAGCTACCAAAGAGAAGGAAATCTGTTACTACCAGGAATAATCCTCTTTACCTGTCACCCTAAAAGCCACAAATGTCAGCACCTTCTGAAAGGGCATCCAGAGCTTCCTGCAAAGAAAGAAGCTATTTTAACGTGACAGCCCCTCGAATAGGAGGCTGGGTCTCCTCCTGCATTCATCACACCTGTTCCTAAGCGGAAAGGGGATTTTAATTATGCAGCAGAGCAGGTTTGTCCATGTTTACCCTGCAATGGCTCCTCCATCCCCTCTGAGAACAGCAATGGTTTAGTTATCTACCTGCAGCAGCCACAGACCCACTTTCTTGCACATGGTGGTTGCAGCATGTCACAGCCCTTACTCTATACTTAGGTGGGTCCTGCACCCCTTGAGCCCTAAAAGTGGGTCAGACAGCAGCAAACTCGGGGTCTCGGTAGACATTTGCTCTGTGAGGACCCAGAGCTCAGTAGAACTCCGGACAGCCCAGCCCAGCTCGGTGCGGTCCCCCAGGAAAGCCACCATGGGTTATGCACAGAAACCGAGCACAGGGTCAGTCCAGAAGACCCCACACCCCTGGTCGCAGTTACACAATGACGGGATGCGTCCTCACGTGTGCTAAAGCATCACTTCCCTGTGACCCGTGGAAGTTACCCCGGTGCAGCACTGAATCTCTGCGGCACCCTCTGATGGTCAGCTCCGAGACACTGAACTCCAGGGGAGCTCCCAGATACCTGCTTTCAAGAGAGCACCTCATTTCAACTGCACAGATGAGGGCCCAGGATCTGGAGCATGCCAGTCTAACAGGCCAGGTCCAAGAGCAACACAGAGCCTGTTTTTAAAACCAAACCCCATTATCAGACAGCTCCTGTGAGCAGGCACCGTGGAGGTCACCAATGCCACCCATGACACTGTGACATTACAGCAGGAGATTAATCTGAAAATCAGTCTTGGCATCACAACATGGCCTGATGTGTTCCTGGGCTCAGCACAGCTCAGCTCAGCTCCACGAACAGGCTTCAGAAGACAGTGCAGCTTGTGAAGCAGCAGAGGAAAATTAGAATGCAGGTTTGAATTACTTCTGCCATGGCAATTACTTGGTTATCAGCCTGCATCTGGTAAGATTTAAAGTGACACATCCATAGCTTGGTACCTCACCACAAATCCCCTCAAACTTCCGTGCTCATCCAACTCAGCTAATCACTCATCCAACACAGCTATCTTTAGCTCCTAATGCAGCCCCCTTAAGCCATAAGCATCTAGAGCCAGGGTCAGGATTACCTTTAAATCTAGGAAGGGAAAAAAGTGCTGGGAGATCTTTTAAAAGGAGATAAACCTCAGGGCAGCAAGCTCTAAGTGTTCATTAAATACCAGTCCAGTATTTAAGGGTAGCTATGAAGAAGATGGAGACTCCCTTTTCACAAGGAGTCCCATGGAAAAGATGAAGGGTGATGGGCACAAGTTCCTCCCAGGGAGATTCCAACTGGACACTAGAGGAAAATTCTTCCCAATGAGAACAACCAACTGTTGGAATAAACTCCCCAAGGAAGAGGTGACTCCAGCACTGGACACTTTTTAAGACAGGGCTGGACAGGGTGCTGGGACATCCAGTCTAGGTCATGCTTTGCCTAGAAAGGTTGGCCCAGATGATCCTTGAGGTCCCTTCCTTGAGGTCCCTCCCTGGGACCTCACCATGATTCTATGTTTTCCATAAACCACTTATGGGAAATAAATATTTTTTATCCCGTTTAACAACTTCTCCCATTTCTCCTTCCAATCACAAAAACCTGGTCCAAAAAGAGACCCTCACTCCTTACCAAAGGAGACAGATTAACCAATTTCTGGACAAGAAAATACTCCAAGTAATTCAGGAGCAGTTTTCAGCATGACAGTACTAGCAGTAATTTAATGACAGGACAGCAAAGCATATCTGCTGGAGAAACCAAAAATACTCCCTCCCCTTCAGTCTCAAGAAAGGGCTGATTTCCTCCACAAGAAACCATTTCTGATTTGTAAGAACACCATGACAATTATGCATATGGCAATTCCTGCAATAGGCAGCATCCCACAGAGCCCTGCCCTGGGATTACCACAGCTTCAGCAGTGGATCTAGGGATCAAACCCGACAGTGGGGGGGATTCTCACCTCTATCTTCTCTGCTTTTTCTGAAGCAAATAAAGACATAGTTCACTTTCATTTTTTCTTCAGCAAACTCCAACAGTGCTGATAACCTGCCAAGGAGGAGGAAGACAAAAGAACATCAGCCATAGGAAGTCCTGTCCTGAGGAAGCCTCTGAGCATTATCAACTGTTTGGATGTTTTCAAGGCAGCAAGATCACTTGTTTACAGCCCCCTTCCAGCGAACAATGGGTGCTGAAACAATGGGCTTCCTGCTTTGCTGTCCACCCCTGCAGAACCCAGAGCTGTCCTCACACCAAGTCACCCAACCTGCTGTCCTTGGCCAGCGCCAGTGCGCACAAATGCCGGTCCCCACCACTCAGTGGTTTTGTACAGAAGCCTTCGTACGTGGGGAGCTGAACATCGCAGCAGATCTGAGCCAGGCTACAGCCCCTCCGCTGGCAACATGCACAGGGGGGTCTGTGAGGTTTATGCTTTATGGGAAGGGATAAAAAAAAACATCAAAAAATGAGCTCCTGCCAGGCAGAAGAGCAAAGAAAACCACCACTGAAGGAGCACGTGTGCAGACAAAGCGGTCTCTTGGGCACATCAGCTGCATGGCACACCTGGTTTTCCCTGAATCCACGCTTCCCTCTTTCCAGCTAAAGTACTTCTGCCACCTCCTGATGGAAGCAACACTGCTCGAACCCCTCTCCAAGCCCTAGCAATCAGCATGGCAGAACCATCGCTGTCACTGCTGGCCTCGAACCAGCTAGGATGCAGGCTGCTAGAGCAGTGACAAACAGGGCTTCAGTTGACATCTAGTTGAAGAGCAGTCAGCAAGCCTGGGGTGCAGCGAGGAAGCTTCAATTTGCGTTTGTTCATGTGGTAATGAACTGTTACAGCCTCTGCCAGGCTGTTTTACCTAGCTAAAAATGGTCTGGCAAAATTGAGCGCTAAGTCATAACGACACAGGTGTCTAAATACCCTCGCAGAAGAACCCACTCGCAAAAGAATGGGCCCTTGGACAGCTCCAAGCGTTACAGGATGAAGAAATGACACAAACATTTATCTAGACTGAGTAAAATGCGACGAGTGTGAAACAGCAAAACCACCGTCACTTGCGGAAGGTGCCCAGCGAGCGGCGTCTTCTTAATTAGCTTGTGTCATTTACAGCTGAAGCCTATTTGGAGATTTAGGAGGACTTCAGAGCGCTCTGCAGAGGAATCCAGTAAAGCCACATCCACGCTACAGCGCTTCCCGCCAGTGGAGATCTCTGGCAAAGCACTTGGCAGGAAGGAGCTGCTCTGGAAGCTGCGTTTACACAAACTTCCCAGAGCAGAGCTGTCTGGACAAAACACTGCTGTGTTCTGCCAACAGAGAAAAATCAGAGGCTCTGGCAGAGCCCAGCGCCTGTGTGGCAGGACTCCAGGAAAGATCCACCTACTGAAGGGGAGCATCAGTAAAATGGAGTTTTGGGTTTGGTTTTTTTTCCCCTGAAAGAGAGGAAATAGCTGCCAAAATAAGCTGGCAACAAGCGTTCCAAGTGGCCAGCAGAAAAAAAATAAAATAAATCCCCCAAAATTCAGGAAAAAGCTTGTAGATTTTCCATGCCCAAGTACGCAAAGAATCACTCTGTTCATTTACTATTTCTCATTAGCATAGAGGCTCAAAAACCAGTAACCCATCTGAAATATCACTGGAGAGAAAAACAAATGTATGGAGGACTAACAGGAGGGCAGCTCTCTGAAGACAAGGGAGTAAGGACACACATACACAAACCTGGAACAGAGCTGCTGTACATAGAGCCCATTCTCCCTGCATGCACAGCATCATGCATGTAAGCACAGTCCTGCTGCCTGGGAGCCTCAGACGCAGCTCTGGGATCCTGAACTTACCCTTCTTTGCTCCCATCAGCTAATAATCCATCAGGGATTTCCACAAAGAGGCTCTGATTAGAGAGCACTGCGTCCCAGGAGGAGGTCTTCACCTCTGTGACCTTGTACTGGAAGTGGACAATATGAGGCTTCCCTTCGTGCACTGGGACATCTTGGTTAACAGTGATCTTCTCGTCCTGGGCAGGGGAGGAGGAGAGCTCATGAAACAGGCTTTAGAGTTAAAGAAAACTATCCATGAAATTGTAGACAAAAAAATGTGAGTGATCACACTTGAAGAGCAAACAGAGGGACTGTTCTCAATGGGAGCACCCTCCTGACAAGGGACGAGCCCATACAGACTGGTGTGTGTCCACAGTTTTATCACTAAAATTCATACCGTGAGACTCACCATAGCTCATGAGGGTATGCACAGTCTGATGTAAGCTTATGTCCAAGTCTCAGAGCTCTAAACAAGTGTTTAAGTGGGTAAGAGGTATTGCTCTGGACAACCTGTAATACCTTGCTTCCATTTTAACCTAATACAGAAATAAAGAACAAAAAAAAAAAAGTAAAGCCCTACATATTAAACAGCCAGGGGAGTGTAACTAGAGAGAGCAAATGCAAAATAAATGGTGTTACAGCTTTACTAAGAAGAACACCGTACTTTTCCCTTTCCCTTTTGCTGGCTCAGATACACACCACAGTAAGTACTGAGACCTCAGTGTGATTTTCTAGTCGTGTTTTCCTGTTCAAGGGAACGTAATTTTGCATATTTACATTACATTAGATTTCTGGCTAATGACAGTCCATCCTCACTGAGGTTGCATCCACATCTTTGAAGGGCGGTTCATGAACTACCCTTCAAAGAACACAACTTGAACCACAAGCTGGAAGAGCATCTGCTGCCGCAGTCTCACCAGTTTCATTGTCTCCCCAATCTCCCCAATGGCCTTTTTGTTTAAGGAATGACCACAAATTGCTTTCCCACATTTTACAACCAACTGGAATAGCAAATGGTTTGTCTCCTGGTATAAGGGAAGAAAATACACAGCACTGAGAGGATCCCAAAACAGAGAGAAGCTACAGAGACTTGAAGATTGTAAGAAGGTCTCTTCCAGAGACCACAAATGTACATGTCCCTCTCCAATACTGCTCTAAGGAGCATGCCAAGCATGCAGAGCACCTCAGATTCAGCCCAGCAGTTCCTAGAAAACAATTTTGTGGTTAAAACTCCATTCCTTCTCCTGACAATTTCTGCAGGCAGTTGCCTTACCCAGTAAACTACTTCCACATTTCACTGCCAAGAGCCCAAGTGAAACGATGAAGGAATTCATTAGGTTCCTGAGTTAACGTTGTCAACTGCAGTGGAAGCTGAACCCTTCCCATCTGCTCGGTTACAGGCTCATGCCTCTCGAGTCACTTACACTTACAAAGTCACCTGCACAGCTTTGAAGGGCAGAAGTAAAGCAGATATTGCAAAAGCAGATATCCGTTCCTGAGTAACAGGAGTACCTGGGAAGGCCACATGTCCCTCTCTCCTCAACAGCACCAACAGGTGGGACCGAGGTTGTTCAGCCCATCAGGGCATTAGGTCCAGTCTTCAGGCATTTGACTGTAACAGGGTTATTAATTCAGCAGCTCCTTGTGAGCTCTGATCTGCTGGTGACCAGCTGGACTGACCATGACACAAGTGACACTACTGCAGAGGCAGCACCTCACCAGATGAGTTTTAATACACTCATCTCTGACCAAACCACGCACAGAGTCAGTACAGCAGAGAAACCTCAGGCCAGTTTGGATCTGCAGTGAAGCAGCATTTAAAAGATGGGCAGAGTGTGAAAGGACTCCTCAGCGTCGCCACTTTCCAAGTGGATGTTGTCTCATGGGTGTTTTAATCTCTGACAGCGTGAGCATTGCTGAAAGACCAGCAAGTGGTTCAGCAAAACACCACCAAGAACTTTTCCAGGCTCCTCAAGCCCATGTCCCAGTGCTTTAATTCCTATTACCATGTGTATTAAAATAGATCCTTCTTAGCTTGACTATTGTGACAAAGAAGAAGCCATCAAGTGTGTTAAAGCTGCCATCAAAAGCATGTAGATGAGGAACTGCCTGGCTTCGGTAACCAGAGCAGAGGAAGCTGCCGTTTGTTTAAAGCCCACAAAGCTTAGCTGAAAAACAAGTTTACACTTCAACAGAATAAATATCCTGTAGGAAATAAGTTTATTCATCGAGTTTGAAAGAAGTTTTCATGGCTGCATCTACTGCCAGGTTTTACTAGTTTTAAGCCAAGCACACCGAGAAACCTACCAACAGCTCTCAAATGAAGTCAGACTGCAGCTGAGCCAGCAGCACCTGCAGATCTGAGCCCAGAGGGAGCTCTGCATTACAGACGTGTGTTTAAAACCCAAAACAAGGGGATTATACGCACATCCTTCAGCAGTGACTTCATAGGAGCCTTTTACAGTTGTTGTTACCAAGCAGAAAATGTCTCTGTTTCAGAAAAGATCCTTCTCTCCAGAAAAGCTCACAGATGCTTCTTTTCTTACACTTCGTGAAAACAAAAACAGGGTGAGGAAGTTGAGAAAAGCAGGCTGGGATTGACACATTGGAGGGGGAGGCACACGCATGCATTTGTGTGGAAAGACTGGCAGCAGCCTGCAATAGGAGGGGAAAAGCTTACCGAGCCTCCTGGCTCAGCCCTTCTGTCACCAGAAGTTATGCCCTGCACTTCAAACCTAGAGGGGTTTTTCCACTTAAGAGCCTCCTAATGCAACAGCCCATGAAAAGGCAGCACAACCACAGAGATTAACAGAACCAGTTCCCCTGGTTCAGTGGGAATTACGTTTACACATCCTGTCTGGGGCAGCTGATATTTTATTTCTAGGCACTGAAATGCCTAGAGATGCTGGGGAGAGAAGCTGTTCCTGCGAAGCAGCAGCCCAGAATTCTTTGGAAGCTGCTCAAAGCAAAATCTGTTTTACACAACAAATGTTCAGTTTTTAGTTCACCCCTGCAAAATCCCACCACCACCTTATTGCGGGCAAAAAAAAAATCCCACCAGACTCTCCTCTATACCCAGCACCTAAACCACCGCCCTGCTGGCCCTCAGCTCCAGCTCAGTGAGGTAAAGCCACAAAGACCAGCTTCCACTTGCTTACAACTCATTGAGCACAATATTTTCCAACCCAGCTACGCTCCTCAGATGCTCCAAGAGGGATGGGGGGAGGCCCCTACGTGTTGGCAGTGCAAGAAGAAAGGATGTTATTGATCTGCCATAGCCAAGTGACTGGAAGACCAGCGTAAGCAGCCTCCTGCTGGCATGTGCTTCACCTGCAGCCTCCTGCCAAGCCTGCAAGCCTCTGCACGTCCTTTCACATAAGCCCGTCCCGGCTGTGCAGCATTCCCAGCTCAGGTAAAGCTTCCCTGACCAAGGGCTGAGTGTTACGTCTCTTACACAAAAATAACAACTATTGGGAGCCCTGGCTGCTGAACTTACAGCACCGTTGTACATGAGTGCTGTGCTGTGTGCTCTGAAGGAGGCAGGCTTGTTCAGAAAGGTCATTCCCTGAGCTACACCAGCTGATACCACTGGAAAAAGGACTTACGCTTTTTGGGTCCAGGTACCTTTCTATGTCATGCTGAAGCTTGTTGGCTGCAAAGTTCAGCCTGCTGTAACTACAGCACCCCTCAACTGAGCTGATGACTGAGGGGAGCAGGGAGAGGCCTGATAACCCCCGAGGTCTGACTTTAAATCATTGGGCAATACAGCCCACTCTGGTCTGGGATGAGCAAAGCTACAGAAGGGGATGATTTTCTGACAGATTCTGCTAGGTTTTGACAGCAATACACCCAGGAAGAATGACATCCATATTTCTGGGATGCAGCTACCTAGATGACATCCTCACAGGCAGCAAATCCTGCCCACAGGCCAGCACCAAAAGCTTCTGTGCAAATTCAAGGCCATGCTAAAATCAAACACTTCAAAGTCTCCAAACCGTGATTCTTTCCTCCACACTGTTTCTGCCTTTGGACCTTGCCTGCTGTGTGTGCCAGGCTTGGCAAAGCAGGCCTGCAAGAGTTGAGGCTGCAGGGTCACCTATTTCTCGTCCCCTTCCACCCAGAGGGAATTCATCATTTGTTCTGAGCCCTCTTGAAGCTATTTATGCATCATCTTTACCTGACAGGAAGCCCCTTGTGCTCTGCTGCTTCTTTGGATTTCATACCCCTCTAACATCTGTGACAATTCAACTCAATAGCGTTAAGCTGATATTATTAGGAGACCACAGAGATTGACATTTATTCACAAGGCAAGTAGAGGTGAGGCATGTGATAATTCACCAAGGCTGCATGAAATAAAACTCCTCTGAAAGCAGATGTGAGGTCTGTGATGCTCATGAATTTCAAGAGGAGACTTTGGTAGCTGTGACCCAAAAGGGCCTTTATCTTTTTATCACATGAAGTCTATGTGCCTCCCACAGAGTAATTAAAAATCAAGTCTTAACACCTATGATGACACTCCTATCTGAACAGCTAAATTTGCAAGCTGAGCATAAGTTTAGGCTACCTCAGCTGATAGCACTTTACTCCCCAGCATGTGGAAAAGCAGCCCCTGGCCAGAAGGCAGCCAGATGTGCACCACCATAACACAACACAAATTTTCACGAGTGCCAATTATTCTACAGCAACCAAGAGCCCAGTCTCCTTATCCAAAGGGAAAGGTCCTGAGGCATGAAGATGGCCAAAACCCAAGCTACACAGATCCTAAGGAAGTCTGCACATACAAAGCCTTCCCAATCTTCCCTCGTCCTACGCCTGTGTTCTAGGCACATTTTGACCGTGTCCTGCGCCTGTGTTCTAGAAACGTTCCTATCGCCTCACCCTTCTGTGGAGTCAGGAGTTACTCTGTGCAGCTTTACCTTCCGGACCAGGGCACAGGAAGGAGCTTATCAACCATTCTCTCTCTGCATTTCACCTTTCTGCTTCCCACTTCCTCTTTTTGCAAGACATTCAAGAAGTTGTTTGATGTTTTGATTAACGTGGCTCCACACAGAATAGCTGAAACAAGCCTCTGGGAAAAGGACTAGGGAGTTATTTACTGCATGCCATTGAGAAAAGGTCTCTTGTTTCTTAGTAGGCAGGTGATATTTAAGCAGGAGAGCACTGCATGCAGCTCAGCGATCTGCCAACAGGGCTGCTGAAAAATGAACTGCTCTCCCACTTATCACCTAGGAGTTATTTGCATTTATTCCCATCAGTCTGCAAGAGGAACCAAACACAGTTGCCACACTGGTACAGGTCATTATTTGGATGTCAGATCTTTCTCACCTTATATATCAGAGCTGAAAGAGAAGGATCCCTGCTACCCCCTCGCCCACCGGGGATCTTCGACAGTGGGTGAGGGGCATCAGGAGCACCACAGAGGCCCTGGAACAATGTGCCTGCAGCACTGCAGCTGGGGACAGTTACTCAAAGGTAAAATACTACTGCAAAAAAAAAAAGAGAGAGAACACCAGGTTACGTTAGCAGGGACAACGATTCAGGCGCTACAGCTCCTCACTACCCCAACCTACTTGTACCCCTGCCCCTCCACAGCACATCAGAGGCAGCTACTGTGGCTCTAGTGCCCGGACACCCATTTTAAAAACATCCCTGCCCCAGCCGCGTCAGAACCAGCGGCCGTTTGTCAGATGTGGAGGGGTTTGCAGCCAAGAACCCAGAGAGTGCTGAGCAACCTCATGCTAATAGAGACCCCTGGAAGGCTGCCAGCAGCAGATGGCTGGAAACGCATGACCAGATGAGCACACATTTTCTATAGACAAATATCTACAAATAGATCAACAGGACCCAGACGGAGGTTTAAGTTTCACATTTTCAAAACCAGGAGCAGTGAAAGGGCTGATTCTTCAGATATTTTCTGAAGGCTCTACAACATCCGAGTTGACATTTTCACATGCAAATGAAATATCATACCAGCACCCTTCACTACAACTCTAACCATTACGAGTTCACCCCACAGGTTTACTTTTACAAACAAGAAAACAAGTTTCCCCTGCAGTTTGTAACTTTCTTTGGATGTCCTAAACGTGATCTTTCGGCATCACTTTGAGCACAGGCTTTAATATCTGCTCTAGATTTTAGGAAGTTCATGAAAGCAAATTATTTTACTTCTGGAGCATTGCTTCCTTTATCAGTACCACAAAAGCTCTTCGCTGAGGCAAGGCACAGCACTGGTATTCCTCTAACAAAGCCTGCAAAAGCAACCCAGAGAAACCAGTTGTTCCCCAGCATTCCCATTATGAAATATGTCAACACAAAGCTATATAAACACCGCCAAAATAAAGGGGAGCGTGAGGGTCTTCAATAAGCACAGGGAGCAAGGAACAAGGCTATGATGGGCAGGCTCCGTAGATGTATTGACAACTTAGGACTGTCCTAAAACTTCTCATTTCAGCTGTTCCCAAGGCAATGTTTTTCCATTCTAATCCCTCTCCACAAGGGAGATGGGCTTAAGTATCCAAAGACAAGCACCAAGCTGCACTGTCAGAATAACCTGCACTGCCTACACAGTGCTGCTAGAACCCATACCAGACTGCAGACAGACTACTGAAACTTGGCATTTCTGAATGCCAAAAAATAACTCACAAACACAGTTACGACACAGGCAGCATTTGCTAAGATCTTGGCTTGCCACCTCACACCAAAATACTCTTCCTACAGGAAACACAAATATTCTTCCTCCATATATCTCCTCCTCCAGGTTCGCTAGACTGGGCTCTTCAGCAGCGCGCCCATGGACCACAGCAGGCACATGTTGGAGAAAAGGCTGTTTAAATAATCTAGGAAGAGATACAAAGCAGTTGCAGTGTAGATGTCTCAGGGCAAACCCCTTCGCACACATGCTCAGTGGCATTTTGTGTTAATACAGTCCCTCCACAGGCATGACCAGGGCTATCAATGGACCAGTGTGTATTCAGTAGTAGTGGATGTTGAGAGGCATGACAAAGCACTTTGCTGTGCCGTTCCCCACCCCCAGAAAGCTGTTGGCAGCTTTGTTATTCCCTTCCCTCCTCCCTCACCCCCCAGTCAACAATGTGCTATTGATAGCTCCCTCCGACTTGCGGCCAAGGCATCAAGAAGCTGGATAATGAAGTGTAGTTGTGGGAAAAAAAACAAAATAAGAAGAAAAAAAAAGAGAGAGAGGCTGTAGTTTCCATGCAAAGCAGTCCCAGACACTTCCCACTTTTGCTTCCTCTGGCACATGCAGAAGTCAAACACAAGACCCCTTCAGCCACAGAGCTCTGCCTGCAGCACTGGGGCTTCACCTCACCACCACTGTCCTGCCCCAAAAGTTGGCTCCAGCAGCCAGGCAGGGTCCCGAGAGCAGCACATGCAGGACGGCACCACCAGGCAACACTGGAGGCTGAGTGTGTGGCACACATGAAGAGAGGTTTTGCTTCTCCCAGAAACACCCTAGGAAGAAGTTCACGCAAGCATCCAGCAAAGTCCAATCCCCTCATGCACCCATGCGCGCGCAGCCCACCGCTACTCTGCTCCCCAGGGCATGTGACACTTAACAATCAGCACTGTGCTCCCCTTCAGCCCTTCTTCTGAGAAGCTGCTTTCCAGCAGCTTGGTTTAGATCAAAATTAGTTTTTTGGGTGCCATGGTTTAGTGTGAGGTGTCCCTGCCCATGGCAGGGGGGTTGAACTGGATGATCTTAAGGTCCTCTCCAACCCAAAGCATTCTATGATTCTATGAAAATGCATCTGGATCCCCAAGGGCCTTTCCCCAAAGGAACTCCCAAGCAAAAGCTTCTCAGTGACCGAGTCCAGCCTGAAACTGGAGCTGGAAGCACACACAGGTTTCCAGCCAGTGTGTATAATTTTAACTCGCTAAGCTTCCAGCAATCCCAACCCCGTGCCCTGTCCCTGGGAAGCGCAAAGGACAACTTGTCAACTTTTGAACCCCATCACGGCTCCTCCTCAGCAACCCAAGCCCCAGGCCAGCGCTGCTGTCAGTCCACAACAGCCAGCAGCATGGGGCCCAAAACCTGAACATTTCCCTGGGTTTGGGGGGTTTTCTTTGCAGCGAACACTTGGATCAGACAGGACGATCCACACAGCTCACCTGACATTACAGAAGCAAAGCTGGTTTTGCTTGGGTTTTTTACCCTTTCTCAAAACAGGCTCTGAAGATGCTGCTGCACTTTGCCCGCAATAATATCTTATGCTACAAGCCACTGCAAATCACATATTAAGGAACCGGATTTGAGGAGCAACTTGCAAATAACTGCCTGATGAACACAGCGCAGCTCAGGTATCTACCCTACATGCAGCAGCCAAGAAACAACGCTGTTTACACACATCCTCCAAGTGCTTATCTACACGCTATAGCAGAGGGTCAGGAAATTACTTTTGGGACTCTAAACAAGGAGCAGACACACAAGACTATCTGGTCACCAGAAATACCCAGAAATGGGGAGTTCATGGTCGGTGATAGCCGATGTGCCAGGAAGAAGCACCTTTTCCTGGAAATGCCCCATCCCTGGCAGTGCTCGAGGCCAGGCTGGACACGGGCTTGGAGCAAGCTGCTCCAGTGGAAGGGGTCCCTGCCCGTGGCAAGGGTTGGAGCTGGATGAGCTTTAAGGTCCTTTCCACCCGGACTATCCTGTGATGCTGTGACTGCGGGAGGGAGGGCACGAGCCCTGCCCGGCATTAACGGCTCATCAGCAGAAGGGAGCTCAGCGACTCCCTGCCGGGGCGGCCCCCTCGAGCAAGACCCAGCCCCGGGGGGCCCGAACACCGCGCGGGGCTCTGCCCCCCCGGAGCAGCGAAGGGCTCACCCGGGGAGGCGCGGAGAGCCCGCTCCCCTCCCGCCGCCTCAGCGCCCGCCCGCCCCGGGCCCGCCCGCTCCGAGGGGCGCAGAGGCCGCGGCAGGGAGGGGGACGCCCCGCACCTGTCCTGGGTGTTTATCATCCTCGGCTCCGCTGGGCTCCGTGGGTCGCTGGGTGCGTGCGGGTGCGTGCGGGTGCGTGCGGGTGCGTGCGGGTGCGTGCGGGTGCGTGCGGGTGCGTGCGGGTGCGTGCGGGTGCGTGCGGGTGCGTGCGGGTGCGTGCGGGTGCGTGCGGGTGCGTGCGGGCCCGCTCGGCTCGGTCTACCACTGCCACCGCCACCGCCGCCGCCTCCCTCGCTCTCCGCCGCGCTCCGTCTGACCCCGCGGGCCCGCGCTCAGCCCCGCCCCCCTCGCGCTCCGCCCGGGCACGCCCCCTCCCCCCCCGCGCCGGGCAGGCCGGGAAGGGACCGCCCCAAACAAAGGCGCGCGCGGCGCCACGCCCACCCGTCCCGCAGGCGCAGTGCGCTCCAAACCTGCTCCGCGGTGTGACGTCACCGCGCCTTGCGCGAGCAGGGACAGGCCAAGGGGAATGGCTTGAACCTGCCCGAGGGGAGACTGAGATGAACTCTTAGGCAGAAGCTCTTCCCTGTGAGGGTGCTGAGGCGCTGGCACAGGGTGCCCAGAGAAGCTGTGGCTGCCCCATCCCTGGCAGTGTTCAAGGCCAGGTTGGACACAGGGGCTTGGAGCAAGCTGCTCTAGTGGAAGGGGTCCCTGCCCGTGGCAGGGGTTGGGAATGGATGAGCTTTAAGGTCCTTTCCAACCCAAACCTGGCTGTGATTCTATGCAAGGGCAGGAGCAGGCAGCCTGCAGCCCGGGCTGCAGGGGGGTATGGGAAGTGACAGCACTGTGATGGGAAGCTTAAGCATGTCTGTACTGGTTGTCACAGTGGAAGAGGCCCGGGCCTCTGACTGGAGGCTTCCTGGAAGTGTTTTGGCTATCGGAACTGGTGGGGGAATAGGTCAGGGAGTAACAACAAGGAATGGATGCTGGGCCCTGGTGGTGGCACTGCACAACAAGCTGCTGGCTATGATCGTAGAATCATAGAATGGTTTGGGTTGGAAAGGACCTTAAGGTTATCCAGTCCAACCCCCTGCCATGGGCAGGGATGCTTTACCCTAGTCCACATCATCCAAGGGTCTGTCCAGCCTGGCCTTGAACCCTGCCAGGGATGGAGCATTCACCACTTCTTTGAATAGCCTGTTCCATATCCTGCTTAAAGTGTGGTGCTAGTGCTTAAAAGGTGGCCTGGAGAGCTGCAGGCTCCTCACCTGGTTGAGCAGGACCTAGAGCAGGGAAGAGAGGAGTGAATACGTGGATAACGATGTTGACCTGCCCGTGGCAGGGCTCTGCAGGGCTTGTGATTAGCAATGTACCTCAAAAGAAAAGGTGGCAGCAGCCCCCCAAGTGGGGGGCCTGTGGGGCTTGGTCCCACAGAGCTCGGTGGGTGCTGAGCTTCACATGGGATCAGATGCCTGCGATGCCCCGCAGGCTCTGGGATCCAACATGCAGCCCTTGGCCTGAGCTTCCTGGTTCCCAGCGCTGCAGCACCGGCCCTCGCTCGGCAGGAAGCGACCAGCTGTTTGCAGAAAGCTGGATGCTGGCCAGAGCCCGAGTTCAAACACAGCCTCTGAAATGGCCTTTTCCCCCTTCCTCTGCGTTTCAAGCCCTGTTTGCAGCCATCATTCTATTTATAAGACCCAGGAAAAGCGAGCTGAGACTTTCCCACAGTGCTGGCTTCGCAGACGATTGTTGTTCGGGAAGCTGGAACGTTCATGGTATTATTTTTGTATACCCACGGGAAGGCTTTATTTCTTTTTTTATTGCGTGTCACTCTGTGTCCCCATCTGTGCCGAGGAGAGTTTGCAACGCACAAAAGGGCTGCTGCTCACCGCTCTTGAAGGCTTTGCTGCTGGTTTGGGTGTCTCTGCCTGCATGCCCCTGCTGGGAAGGGTGGTGGGTGCTCTGGGACATGTCCTGGTGACCAAGGGCCTCAAAGCCAAGAGACTGTCACTGATACCCCCTGTCTCATTACCGAACCCCATCAAATCGCTTGCTTGCCCTGTGCCTCGGTGTCTCCTGTGTGGAGGAGGGAAATGGGATCACCATTACTGCCATAACCGTGGTCTTGGCAATGGCAAGTGCAGTTGCGCTGCGTTTTTGGGGCTGGGCATGACAACCAGGTCACAGTGTCACCAGCTGTTGGGGTGCTGCTGCCAGCGGAATCCAGCGGGTGCTTTTTTTTGCCTTTCTTGGCCATGTGAGGCTGTTCCTGCACAAGGAGCTGCACTGGGATATTCTGGGCTGGCTGCGGTTCCTTGGCAAGGCCCTGCACCGTGTCCCGCTCAGCTGCACGGGAGGGGTTTCTGCAGGGCCAGGGAGGTGATCATCCCTGCACTGGGCACTGGTGAGGCCGCACCTCGAATCCTGTGCTTAGCGCTGGACCCTCACTACAAGAGAGACATTGAGGTGCTGGAGCGGGGCCAGAGAAGGGCAGCGGAGCTGGTGCAGGGCCTGGAGCACAAGTGTGATGGGGAACGGCTGAGGGACCTGGGGGGTTCAGTCTGGAGAAGGCTCAGAAGAGTCAGTCTCTTCTCCCAGTTAACAAGTGACAGGGCAAGAGGAAATGGCATCAAGCTGCACCAGCTTGAGGCCTTGGCAGTGCTGGGGAGCTGCAGGCCCTTCACCGGCTCCGTTGCCCTCCTCTGGACCCACTCCAGCACCTCAGTGTCTCTCTTGTAGTGAGTTCTTGCTGTTTGTCAGGGTGGGTTTTGGGATTGATTATCCCAAATTCTAGACACGGAACAGATGACATCTGCAACCTTTTCTATTTTAGAGGCTTGCAAACATTCATTGGGTATCTCCTTAATTATTCTCATTGATTATTGTGATTAATTGTGGATTACATAGCTCTTGAACAATACTTTCCATCAGGACAGATACTGAGGTAAACAGTTTTCCACAGCTGGGAAATGGAGAACCAGAGTACATCTGCTCTCAGAGCGGGTGAGCACTGGTGGGCTGGGGCTGAGCAGGGATAGCCACAGCTTCTTGGAACTGCCTGACACGGGACGGAAGACACTAGGTGGAGACAGGCAAGGCCAAGACAACAGGAGGACAGCCACTCGGTCACAGCCTTCTTGCTCACAGGGTTGACAGCAGAGATACTGCCCAGATGTTCGGGGCCATGGAGGTAAGCAGGGTCCCCGCGGGATGGGCTGTCTCTCGAACATTTGCTCCGTGCTCTTCCTTGGCTGCAGTCCTGGCTGCGCTGTCTTTGCCTTTGTGTGAGAAAGGGCCAGAAGCAAGTTCACCCGCTCGGCCGGCCCCATGGCAATGCAGCCACAGGCACTCCCACTGACCTCGTGGTGATGCAGCCACTCAGATACGGAAACCAACACTGTTGCAGAGGAGGCTGTACCAGGGAAGTGGCAGCTGCAGCCCTTCCCCTGTGCGTGTTCCACCAGCGGGTACCACATGTCGGTCCTTTGGCTGTGCCCTCCCCGTCACGGTGAAGCACGGCCAGTGCCGGGGTGTGTGGTGGATGCCACGTCCAGCCAGAGCCTCGGACACAGTTCTTTGGTTCCTCCAGCAGCACTGCCTAGATGCTGCCTTGGAAGGGGGCTGCCTAATGGAAAACTCTTCCAAACAGAGGTTTCAGAATAAAGAGAGAAAAGGATTGGGAGCTGTAGGTATAATTGATACCCTGTGGTTATTTAAAAACATCTTCAGAAATGTGTCATTCAGAACTTTCCAGGGCATATCTGGGAATGGAATGATGTTTTTGTCAGCAGGCTTTTCATCCCCTGTTCCGTGAATTCTCTTTTTCCTTTTTTTTTTTAACATGGGGATCTTGTTTTGCTAGGGGAAAAATTAAAATTAACACTGCCAGGGAATTTTGTTTTCATATCTTGATCCTCCTGTGCTGACATGCCTATATTGTGTTACAGCCATAGAAGTACCAGGAGCATTGCTGGGATTTTTTCACCTGTGTTTCTAGGTGAACTGTGGATAAATTCCATAAAGCCAGTCCATCTGTGCCGCCGTGAGGCTGGAATCGTGTCTTGAGGGTTTCTGCGAGTGTCCATCGCACAGGTGGATTTTAGTTGTTCAAACTGTCACGTTGGTTAGTGTCATTAACGCGAGTGTTCTGTCCACTTCACATCTGTAACAAAAAGAAGCATTTCCTTCCAAGCTGTGCTGATACAGTTTTCTGCTGTTCCTTTGTATTTCCAACGGGATGAGATGATTCCTAGTCAGAGCTGGGGGTCAAGTTTAAGGCACATTGCTGACATCAACGGCTTTCTTTTTTTTAATGAGCTTTCTCAGAATTTGTTATTTAGCCATTAAGTGGTGCCAGTGGAGAGTTCATGCATGAGCTGAGTCGGAAATCTGCTAGGTGTGAATTAGTGATGAGAGAAAAGCAGGTCAGAGAACAGCTTGCTTCAGAGCATGTTGAGCATCAAGCTTGGGCCATAACTGGCATGTCCAAGGCCTTGGGCCACAGTGTGTGCAGAAGAAAGAATGTAGAAATTGTGACAAGGTATGACTTCCCTCTGCTGCTCTCTGAAGATGTGTTGTCCCTGTTCGTACCAGTGGGATGTGCATCGGCACCAAGTGGAGGTGTTCATGTGCAGCACAGATTTGGGTGGGGTGAAGAGCTGGATGGTGTCAGGGGGTGAGAGCTAGTGATGGGACATGGTGGTCCACCATGAGATGAGTCTGTTGTGGGCTTTTGTGTCATTGCTGAGGCCTGTGCTCCGACAGGATGCTGTGGGCTAGAGCCAGCACCTTTGCAGACACTCTGATGTGATGATGGGATGGTCGTGGGCTGAGATACTACTGCAGAGTGAGTCCCTGTCAAACCTGCTATCCCTCCAAGCACAGAATGTCAGGATGGATTGCCCTGGAGAGGCAGGCAGGAGTTTTGCCAGCAAACACTGGAAAAGAGGCAGTTGGTCCCTCCTCATGTGATCTCCTGGCATAACAGAACCTGGGAATGGGGTATGATGGAAAAAGCATGTCAGGAAGCACAAAGCCTACAGCAAGGATGGGAACATGTAGGTGCGAGGTCCAGGCATGCGGC